GTATTATTACTGAAAAAAAAAAAACGAGTGTCAAAATCGCCTATGAGAAGGCTATTCTACTTCTTCTTCCTTAGAAAATAAAATAAAATAAATGATATCAAATCAAGGCTACTTATTATCAGAAATTTTTAGCAATATCAAGCATCTGAAGGAAGTCAAAATAACATTTGTTCTCCATCTCACGACAGCGAAATTCAACAAACATCCGAGTTAATTCCATCGGCTAGTTATTCAACCACCAAATTCAATTACAGATCTAGACCTTTGACCGTAAACAGACAACGAAAATGAACAATTAGGAAAAAACTTAAATCATGGAAATCAAGAATATCCCACATACCGATCAATCCTTTCCAAGTATTGCATAGCTTGGCATACGACATAGAGAACCAGTGTTTTCACCTGTTTCATTAAGAGCCATTAGATGTTTATTTAGTATTATTTATGTACACGAATCAGAGTTAGGTTGGAAACAAATATAACTAGAGAAAATTATACTTCTTCTCATCCACACTTAGCAATAATCTTTTCAATTTATATATTTTAGTTTTTAGGGAAGGAAATCCGTTTTATAGATTATATACTAATACATCAACTTACATACCTGCAATGTGTCTTCCTTAGAACTATGATTGTGAGGGAGACGCCGGTATTCCATTGATAGACGGATGCACTCACCAACACTTTCTGCTGAAACAAAGTTAGCAGAGACACTCGTGCAAGACTGAAAGAGGAAAACACACAAAAATTAATTGCAAAGTTAAAATGAAAAAATGCGCAAGCGGCATGATTATTATGAAGTTGTTTACAATGTTGTATACCAGTCGATATTCTACATGGCTTGTATAATATTTTTACAGACAATTTAAAATTTAAACAAAAAAGGGAAAAAATTAACTGAGGAACCAAATTAACATTTAGCCATGCATAGAAATTAAAAAAGATGGTAGTCCGCGGCTTGGAGAAATATCGAGTCTGTTAAGGCAATGTATATCATTTTGGAACAATAATTAATCATCTCTTAAATTACTTGAAAGCCATATTTGCAAGCAAAAAAATTCAAAGAATCAAAGGAAATGAGATAGTTGAAATAACAAGAGAATGTAAAACATTGATAAAGTGAGCAAATCCTTCTCATTATTTTCCATGACCAAGTTACCAAACTCAAGAGCGCATTAATTGCATTAACTACATACGAATAAACTATTTGAACAATAACTAGGACGATATATCGAACCTTTAAATTCCTAATTTGATAAGGGCAGCCAGCTGGTACAATAACTGCATCTCCTAATTTCTGAATAAAATTCCATGGTTTGATTCCTACAAAGAAAGAAGTACCAACATATATATAATCAGTATCCCTGGCAGTTATCGATAGTACACCATTAAAACGCAGATAACATACTAACCATATTCTGCTTTCAGGTTCCTTTTATGCTCCACCGTTAGGTAAAATGCTTTCTCATGAATAAGGTGAAACAACTGCACATGAATAGACGAATAATAAATAAGTACAATTTTAAATGATTTAATACTTCGCCAAAAAGAAAGAAGAATAAAAACCATCTACTAAGTTGACAACAGTATATGTTTCGGATTCTGCTCAATAAACAAGAAGTACTACAATATGAGAAATAATCCACAAAACGCCAAAAAAGAAAGTTGGCAATTGTTCCATTAAACTCAAAGTTAGAATATAATTACTTGTTGCAGAGGGAATATATGTCTGAACTGTCTGTAATGCCTCCTAAGATATTCCTCTAGTTTAGGAATATCTTGTCTCCTGAAAACGTCCCAGACAACACCACCTTTTTGGGCCTCAAACCTTTGCTCATTGTTCGCTGAGGTTGAAGAATCGATTTTTTCTTTTCCTTTACTTTTATTTTCCCTTTCACTTTGCCGATTTCTCATGAAATTTTCATTTGCTTTCTGATTACAAGCAGAAGATACAACTGGATCCTGGGCAGCAGTATGCATCAAGATATTGACCTGAAAAATAATTTAAATAACAAAAATAAGGAAAGTGAAAACTATGGACGATAAAATTTAAATAAGGAACATTCCGTTGACGACTCGCATAAAGTTTTTGTGGTTGTTTTGCTTGAATGGAATATAATTAAGATATTTATATTAAAAGATACATTTCACTAGTAGCTTAAACTTTTGGTTGAGGTGGTCATTCGAGTTCGAATCCCATCGCCATCCAATTCAAATATTTCAAGTGCAAGACTTCAAATGTAATTCGCGTGCACTTGAGAGGGCATGTTGGAGATCTTAATATTAAATAAGACATTTCACTAACAACTTAAGCTTTTGGCTGAGATGGTCCTTCAACAAGTTCAAATTTGGATTCTATATAGAGTAACTTCATACAACAGTAACATCGCACAACAAAAGAAAGATTATCATTGAGTAAGTTATTTAATAGATCTCTTCATATGTGTCCCTATACTTTCTTTTTTACAGGAAGTCGACCAAAAGTCGCAACTTAAAAGCAAGATATTTGGCTAAAGCTAAAAACATCTACCTAGGAAACTAATATTCTTGCATTTATTGTTACTGCATCATACTTGTTCCTATGCCTTTATACTTATCATTTACATTAAAACAATAAGTCATAATGATTAATGCAATTGAATTATCAAATCCATTTGAAGAAAACTTTCCTTATGAACACGCTTCTGGTTTTTGATATTGTTAGAAGATAAAGGCTATGTTTGTTACGGTTTTCAAATTATTTTCACAAACTTTTCCCAAAAAAAAACCAAAGTTTCTCTCTCTAACAAACATGATTTCACTGCTACATTGAAAATTGTCTTCACTGAAATCACTTTATTTTTCCAAATTCTTCTTCCAAAATACATTTTTCCAACACCTTTTAGACATGATTTGACTGACTGGCTATAGTACCAATTGCCTCTTCTCAAAACATAAACAAAATTTATTTTCTTTTCAAATTCTTCTTCCAAAACATCTTTCTCCATAATAATATAGAAACGGAAGCCCAAAACCTTACCAAACAAAGCCAAACTTATCCCACATCGCTAATTTATTGTGCTACAATGCCTTGATAAATTGGCTAGGGTATAACTCATCTCCAAGTATAATATATATTAGAAATAGCTAAGATTTTTAGCTTAATTATGGTATATTAGTTGGTATATATTCTTAATTTAGCTTAGAGTAAATTGTGTATGCCGATGTACTGTTTTTACTTAATATGTGACGAAAGGAATTCTTCTCCTATCTTTTCTCAAATTGGTGTCGAAGCAGGTTTTCACATGGTACATTTGCATGCGGTGATGGACCCCGCCTCCAAAACTCGAGTATTAGCATTTCATTCCCTAATAACTTAGATATACTTATAAGCTGGGATTTTGGCTTTATTAGCTTTATCTAAACTTGAAATTAGAGATTGGTATTGTTGAACTGCACATGCTAAGAATCCTACATTTTGAAATCTAAAAGATATTTTTATTTCCCTTTTAATCGAGTCTAATAATTATACTCCTATTAGTTGGCTAGCTATTTTGCATAATCATGATGATCCGCGATCAAATCATATTTAAACAATATCACCACAACATCTATCGAAAATAAATCAAGCATACCTTGTTCTTGCATTATAGTTGGAGATGAAAATTTGCATATATAGTTTAGCTTACATGGCTTTATATTATAGATGATACATGCTTTCAAATACTAGAAAACCCCAAAACAAAAGTTTGCTTAACTCTTTGCGCAGTTTCACAAGGGTTCCACTTAACCATCCAAGGTTGAAGCATGGTTGAAGTTGAATATACGTTAATAGATATTTGTAAGTCTTTTTCTAGATTGGCTAACATTGGATCATGGATTTCAAAATGAAGAAATGGAAAGTGTATGGGGAAATGAAAACGGAGAATTTTTGAAATCACAAAATATGTTTAGTTTATAAGAAAATAGTAATGAAAAACTTGATTTAATGATGTCCGACGGCAACGTCCGGTTTATTTTTTTCCCCATCTTTTGCTCTATATTACTTTACAACGTGTTTTACATTCGGTTTGGTAACTTCAACTTATATTTACCTAATACAAACATGGCTTGGCTCAAATAGGATAACTTTGAAGCTTATATATAGATTTATGGTCTTCATGGCGCACTACTAGCGAAACAATTTATAGAGTTCAAAAAGACCCCTGAACTTCTCCGGGAATACATGAGGTAATCCCACATTTTGATGCGATGCTTATGAGTTCTAGTTACAACAACACATTTTCTATCTAATCCTATTCCTTATTCATTCTTTGCAGACACTTGGCCATGCACATTGTGACAAACAACGAACAATGTGTTCCAAGCCTAATGTTGTCTTTATAGATTAAGTAGACACTAATCTCTAGTGATCGTAATGTCTCAATCCACAAAATTTTCGAAGTTACAAAATCTTACTATAGCTCAAAAAAATTACCCGAGTAAGGGAAAAAATAGAAGCAACTCTATAGTATTACGACAAAATCCTGAAGAAAAATTAATGGTAATAGGATCAAATAAAAAATTTATCATGCAAGAGGTCATATATGCTTCGTTATACGACAAAGACATGTTTCAGAAACCATGGAGTCGCACTTCAAATTCATCTTTCTTCTTCAAGAAATAGTTTCCAACAACTCATTGAACTTTCATGCCTCCGCTTGATTCAGAATTATTGTATAACTACTATTCCTAAGTCTTAAGCATATTCAACATGATTCAAGCATGCGTATAATGAGTCAACAATTAAGATTAACAAAAATAAAGATTGTTCCATAGAAGAAACAAAAATTACAAAAATACAAAAAAAGAAAAAAAATCCTATTTGTGAGTTCTAGTTATGCATTGCAAATATTAAGTTTTCTTATATTACCATTCTTGTAAAACATGAATTTTTGTGGTAGGTAGTACTCACAAATATCAATTCCTAAGAATATTAAAATATTGACACTCAAAAAAAAAAAAAAATTATTTGATTTCTTAAGATCCTTAATATCCACATAAAATGTTATATATTTGGTGGTAATTCGCCAATATCAATCCTTAAGATCCACATAAGATGCTAACACATCACTAAATCTCATTCGGAGATGTACTGTTTTGTTTCTATTGATGCAGTAGGAAGTCTAATGGGAAAATAACACTCAATTTAATAAAGATAGATATAACAAAAAAAAATGTACCATATCTGAAAGAGCATATTGGAGCTTGGTTGCGGAACAAAAGCCAAGGTGCTCATCGACTCCATAACCAAAGCATATCTTTGGACCCAAGTCTGGCTTCAAAGACTTCTTTGGTGTTTTAGCCGGGATGTTGAGGTAGCCAGCTTGATGAATATAATGCTTGAATGGCAAGCATTTGACAAACTCTCCAAAATGCCTCGGCAGTCGTTCTGCAAATGATTCAACTCGAGGCCAATCCTCCAACTTTAATATTTTGGGTCGGCCTTCACTGTCCTAGAGGCCTTCAGTGTATCCTTTGAAAAATTGGTGTATGTTAATTGTTTCCTGCATGTCATAATCCCAAACTCAAATTATTACAACTCGAAAAACAAAAGTAAACATGAAGAATGTGTGGCTTAGCATCTAAAACCTACTTAAGAATTTATTAGAAAATTAATTATTAGATACTCTCACAAAAGGATCAGAAATAAGGCTCCAAATCACATAATCCGGATTATAATTTGCAAGGGTAAAACATACTAGAGAAGTTTACTTACCTCACACCAATTTAAGCAGTTCGTTACGCTGAATTCCAGAATACGCATGTCACGGGTGCTTTTAATTTTGCGAGAGGCGCGCCACATGACTAATGGTTCCCAGCTCAACCCTGTCGTTCTCCTGAGGACGTTAGGGACTATTACAGGCTCACCTTTATATAGGTGCCATTGGAAATGTTTTTGGTCCGCTATTTCAACGTCCTCAACTGTGGGACAATGGAAGTTATCCGATTCACTCCCATGTTTGTATCCCGACCATGAGCATGCTCCTTCAGAAGGTTCAGGAACTTCAGCTACTGATTCTGCTTTTGTTAGCAGTTCCGATATCCAGTTAACTGGATATGTGGACTTCAACTCCAGAATCCTAGGACCACAGCCCCCCATGCCTTGAGATGGACAAGTAATGTTACCGTTATTTGTCAGTTTACAGTACGAAACAAATCCGTTTCTAATCTCTTGGCAGCAACTCCTAATTGTCTTACTAAATCTTGTTTTTCCAATTGTTTTTTCTCAATCAGGCACCACGTTCTCTTAACTGCAATGGCAAAAATGTATGCATAATTGTTCCAGGGAAGACCAAATAAGGATGTCTTACCAGCAAAATTGGGAAAATTGTGTTGATTACTGTAATCAGATACTGCTCACTGCAATCTAATTCTGACTATTGCAATTTTATGCATATTCACAGAATATATAAATAATTTTCCTTTTCACCGACCAAAAATGTTTTTACTTACCATGCCTGTAAAATGGAGGGCACCAGGAAGTAAATCTCGAATTATATTGGAAATTTTAGGAAAAATATTTATTTTATATTATTGCTACTTACTACTTGTGCACATTGACAGAATATATAAATAATTTTCCTTTTCACCGACCAAAAATGTTTTTTTACTTACTATGCCTGTAAATTGGAGGAATCCACGAAGAAAATCTAGAATTAGCATTCCATAAGAACATTTTAGGAAAAATATTTATTTTATATTAGAGTAAAAGGCAGTTTGCCCCCTAAACTATGGGCCGTTTTGCACTTTACCCCCCAAACAAAAAAAATTTGCACGTTTTTACCTGAACTCGTTAATTCGTTGCACGGTGCCCCCTAAACTCAATTTTCCGGCAATTTTAACCGGAATCATAAAACATGTGCATTGCACGTGAGATTTTGAGGGGTAAATTCGTCCCTTCACTTGCATCTTTAATATTAAATACAAATAAATAAATAAATAAAAAATATAAATAAATAAATAAATAAAAGAAAAATAAGCTATCATCCTTCCCTGCAAACCACTTCCGAATCCTCCAGGAAACAGCCCGGATTCGAGCTGTAGAGCAAAATCGACGAATAATTAAGCAAAATCGACGAGCAACAGAGCAAAATCGACGAACAACAGACAAGCAACAGAGCAAAATCGACGAGCAACAGAGCAAAATCGACGAGCAACAGAGCAAAATCGACGAACAACAGAGCAAAGTCGACTAACAATTGAGCAAAATCGATGAACAATTGAGCAAAATCGACGAACAATTGAGCGCACAAATGAAATTGAGAGAAGAAGAAAAAGGCCATCTGGGTCCCTTCCGAAACAATCAAGAAACTCAAAACCAGTTCAAAGAAAACCACCGCCGCCGCCGACGACGGCGGCTGCAAAACGGCAAAGCCCACGAAGCCGGTAGTCGTCCTCGTACACGGCTTCGCCGCCGAGGGAATAGTGACGTGGCAGTTCCAGGTGGGTTCGCTGGCGAAGAAGTACTCCGTCTACGTGCCGGACCTGCTCTTCTTCGGCGGGTCGATCACGGATAACCCGGACAGGTCGCCGGCGTTTCAGGCGGAGTGCCTGGCGAAGGGGCTGAGGAAGCTGGGAGTAGAGAGGTGCACGGTGGTGGGGTTCAGCTACGGCGGAATGGTGGCGTTCAAGATGGCGGAGATGTACCCGGAGATGGTGGAGGCGATGGTGGTCTCCGGGTCGATACTGGCGATGACGGATTCAATAAGCGCCGCCACGCTGGAGGGGCTGGGGTTTTCTTCCTCGTCGGAGCTTCTGCTGCCGGACTCCGTCAAGGGTTGTAAGGCGCTGCTCAAAGTCGCCGCTCATAAGAAGTTGAAAAATACAAAATATTTTTTTATTTTTTGTTTTCTTTCTTTTGTTTTAATTTTTATTTTTTTTTGTTGTTTTAAAGAATAATTTATATTTAATATTAAAGATGTAAGTGAATGGACGAATATAGCCTTGCAAATGTCACGTGCAAGGCACATGTTTGAACTTTCCGGTCAAAATTGCCGGAAAAATTAGTTCAGGGGGCACTGTGCAACGAATTAACGAGTTCAGGTAAAAACGTGCAAATTTTTTTTGTTTGGGGGGTAAAGTGCAAATCGGCTCATAATTTAGGGGGCAAACTGCTTTTTACTCTTTATATTATTTGTACTTACTACTTGTGCACGTTGACAATAAAACTGGTCCTAATTCTCTACATTCGGTTAAATAAATATTACAAAAATTAAAATTAAATTGTTAATATGTTTACATAGCCTACTCTGGAAAATGTTTTTAAAGATTACAAAATCTATGAGAGAATTAAGTTATTTCAAGACATGAATGCATTGTAACCTAAAAACCAGGAGAGAGTAACAACCAAATTTAAACCACTAAGCATTTGTACATTTATTTGACGAAATGGGTTACAGCATAGCAGAAAGGATAATATTCGAGAATATATGAGTACAAGTTTAACAACTTCAGCAAATGGCTCATAATCAAGGAGAAACAAACTGTAAAGTAAATCATAGTAGTTATTGGTTTCTTCATAAGGATTGCTCAATTCTACTTATAATTTATTATTTTATTTTTTAATTACTAGTAACAATACAAGTAGAAATTAAATCCACCTTAATCACTAAAACAATCACCAAAAGGAGGAATAAAAAAAACTAGTCCAAAATCTTATCTTCAAAATCAACATGACAATAAACACATTATTTTCTAATCAAGATTGACAGCCGGAGAGAGATAAAGACTACTCAGTTTAAGAAAAAAGGGAAAACCAACAAAAAATAATATAAAAACATAGGCATCATTCAAACACAAAATGAAGTAAAATCACCTAAATCAGATCACAAAACTCCTCGATTTTGAACCCTTGATAAGAGAAAATAAGGAAAATTGAACAAGGGATTGAGAGATGCAGAGAATGTGTGAGAAAGTAGAATGGGAAAGGGGAGGGAAGGGTAAAACTTATTTGTGGGAAACTCCGCCAGTAAATACGATAAGGTCAGCATTGATTGTCTCGATCCCTAATAAATTGCTTCATATCCAATGACGATGCCAGCTAATTTTACATATTAGCAGTTGCACCAATCGTAGCTGGCAGCAAAATGACATTTGGCGAGATATGAAATGTACCATACAGTCTATTGTGGACTTCCTTGAGCCATTAATTTAGTTTACCTAGGTATGAAAAAAGCAAAAACACAAGGACTGACCAACCCAAGATCATTGCTAAAAAGCTCTTTTGCGACTACTTTATCGTCTAAATGATCCGGCCTGGTTTCATTTTATCAAAATTAGTACTGTATAAAATAAACCAGGACTAGAAAGTGAGACAAAATATCATTGAATAGCGGCTTCTAAAGATGATGGTGCACTCACATGCTTTCGAATTCTTTGTATTTCTTTAAAAAAAATTAGAAAGTATTTTCTTCATTTCCTTGATCTATACAAACACTAGGATATAGTTGTGAGGTAGGGCAATGCCCAGAAAAAAACCTGTAAGGAAAACATATCCATAGATAACGGGATGACTAAAATCTGTTACTCATTCAACCAGCTACGTACACAGATAACATAGCATTTACAATTATCTTTTCGAATATGAGCACCAATTTATGCAAGATCTACAGATTCTCTAATACTGGTAAATATGATCAAACAACTTTATCATCTTCCTTATGTAAGATGTAATATTTGCTGATATTTTCTTTAGCATGCAAATGAAAGAGTTTAGTAGTCGGCATCGTTCATGTGAAGGACCAAACCCCAATTATTCGAAGAAATTTCGAACCAAATCGAAATCATTTCGGTTGTTTTTGGTATAGGATATAAGTGTGGATATCTTACTGAATGTTATGGTATTCAGTACCGCTTTTTACAGAATAAACACCCCACACAATAGTTCACTAACGTGGACCATTTAAGAAAAGTAAAGCTTGCTTACCAATAAAGATGACTGTAGAAGTAGTACCATCTCCACTTGTATAATCTTGCGGAACAGCAGTACGAACAATCATTATTGCTGTTGGACTTTGAACTTGCTGTCATCGTTCATAAAAAAAACCAGGCCTAGAAAGTGAGATAAAATATTATTGGCGAGATTGGTGCACTCCTTAAATGCATAAGCAAACTAGTTACTATATTCAAGACTGTACCACAGGCACAATGACAGAACTGTTGAAATCAGTGGATTTTTTGGCAATAAGAATTTCAATTGTTTTACTACCATGACACACAAAAGAATCCTATTTGATGATTATCTTGCATTTCTTAAGTTTGTTATCTTGTATTAAGTCAAGGGTTCAATTCACTTTGGGGATGGGTTGTAGGCTATTTATAAGGCCAATGTTTGTTTTAAGAAACTACAACACATGCTGCCAGAAAAAACATTTACCAACTGGGCTAGTATACAAAGGCTTCTTGACTGGTCTCACTTTCTTTCTAATCTTTATTTTCCTAAAACCAAGTTTCTCTTGAACATATTGACGAGTTAATAATAGTATATCCTGGAAAGTAAACATCTCCTCACTTGAATTGTGTATATTATATTTGATCAATACTTGAAAAAAAGTAATTCAAAACATAAAATAACTCGTAGTATGTTATTCTTGTATAACTAAGTCATGCAGTCATTTCCGTGATATTTGCTCTTTCATATAAATGTTATCAGATGAAGCACTTTTCGATTATTTGACACTCAATAGAGCACTACTTAGACTACTCTTCAACATCCAGATTAAAATATTACCTGATACTGAAAATACATCTCTCGCCAACTCTCGATCATGCCCCATATTCCAAATGATGAGAAGTAAAATTCGTAGGAACCATCAAGTTACAAAAAAAAGATGAGATAAATAGTAACAACCTAAGACGCCTTTCTATAATCTACAACCATTGAGTGTCTGGGGAGGTAAAAATTAATACATGACAACAGAAATTGCAGCATTTGACAAATTTACATGAAACAACGAAAAAGGTGTCCTTTTTAAATTTATAGTCAGTGGAAAAAGAAAATCCCAAATAACCACTTATACTTATACATTGATATGAATATGAATCTCCCATGGGTTCAATTAGGTATGAGGTTCCCCAATTAATTCGACCAAAGTACTCGAAATTTTGTTAAACAGAAATGAAGTACAACTACTAGCGGTTCTTCATGGTTTCCATGTGCGATTAACATACTGCTATAAGA